GAATATGTGCAGAGAACACTGTTTTGGCAAGAAAATTTGCTTACAAAGTATACAATCATAAAATATAAGTATCAAGTTATACGCAAAAACAATAAAATCAAAATTTGTAAAAATGTTGACTTTGGCCTGTTGTGGTGAATATGTCAATATGATTTCACCAATGATGCATCTCATTTCATGGTGAGACCTAACATATGTCTAAAAAAAAAGCTCATAAAGGTGGGATTCATGTGTAGATTCTACAGTAGTTTCCAAATACTGTAAATTTTAATGAGTAGAAAAGAAATGGGTATTACAGTAACTATGAACAAAATGTTGAGCAACTTTAAAAAATTCATTAGCTTTAAAAAATCCAATAATCGTTAAGTTAGAATTGTTCTATCATTGGTATAATAATAATTGGATTACCAAGATACGGTAATGGGATGGGGCTACAGTACTCTATGCATCTCCCTGGCTCACTTGCAAACTTGCCAATCACATGGCCCTCACCCATTCTCCATGCTCAGTGCCTGAAATTTTCTTGTGATCATGGTACATCTTGAATATTTCAATTTTTTTTTTTTTTTTTTCTATTCTGTATTTGAGATAGATATAATTTTATGTTCTGTTTATTTTTATGTCAAAGTACCTTTCCAGATAAAGTAGTTAGTACATAGATTGTATAATACAAGTTTCTTGGAGTGTATACTATTATACTATCTTATCTGAGATTAATCAGTGGTCTTTAGATTAATAATTCTTTATTTGTTTATATTTTATATTCTAAAAATTTATTTCTATTCTTTATACTTTAATGACTGGCTAACCCATTGTGAGCCAAAAGAGAAAATAATACAAGGTATAAAAAAGTGTTGCCATACAGATATGCCACTGTTTCCAAGCTACTTAAATTTTGATATTTTTTCTTTTAGAGTCTGCTGTCATTGAACCCCCGTATCAAACCTCATGCGAACTTGGTAACGACATCTCAGACCAAGAAGAATAAAAAGCACTGGAAAAGGAATGCCGGAAAATCATGCGGGGTAAGTTTTAACAGTTTTCAGACCCATGATAATTTGCGCAATGACGTAATGCTAGAACAGATTCCAATTTAAGATAGTATAATACATACTCCAAGTATCGAAATGCACGCCATCGTGCGTGTCGGGATTCAATATTTCAACATAAATTATGTCATCATCAGGAATGAATGAATGACATAATTAATGTCAAAATATTGAATCCCAACACAATGGCGTGCATTTCGATACTTGGAGTATGTATTATACTATCTTATCTGAGATCAATCAGTGGACCTTTCAGATTCCAATTTTTTCCATTACTTTTTTGCCAACAAATATACAAGAAGCTGAGAGCTACAATTCACAAATACAAAAGTATTTCAAACTTTGTTGCAGTTTGACTATTTTATACCAAATAAATAAACAAATTTGTTTATTAATACCAATATTTACGATTTAAATTTTCTTAATCACATGTTACAATAATATTGGTATATTATTGCATTAACTGAAGTACAGTTCTTCGGTTTATTCTCCTATATTATACTTTAGTTGGTCTTGATGGTAGAACAACTCAACAAATTGTACTTACTGTAGGGTCAAGTTGGTAATTAGTGATTTATTTACCCAGTCAGCCACAGGTAGACTGGGTTCTGTTTTGTTAGAATTCATCTTCTGATTCTTCTTCTTCTGGCAACATTTCATATTGCTACTAGAGGCAAACTGTTGGTCTGATTTCAGTCAAACTTGTTCAGTTTATAACCAGTGACACCTCCCATATATGGGTTGTTCACTGCTTAGGGTCAAATGTCACACAGGCGACATTAGGGTAAAAACCCCCAAAATCTTATAAAAGACTAATTCTTTCTCAAATAAAAAACATCAATTAAAACTTTAAGGGGTTTTTTTTTTTGCAGATTTTTTAAACAAGATTTCTTTAATCATTGACATGCTGTGCAAGTGTTTATATCGTACAGTATACAGTAGATCATATTATGCAACAATTTTTTCAGTGGTAGTCTTTTAAGGTAAATTTGATTAGTTTTAAAGCTAATTATACTTTTAATTAATTAAATATTTTGATTTCACAGGATTGCGACAGTTTACAAAACAACTTTGATGACATCAAACACACGACACTGAGTGAGCGTGGTGCGCTGCGCGAGGCTGCCCGTTGCTTGAAGTGTGCGGATGCGCCCTGTCAAAAGAGCTGTCCTACACAACTTGATGTCAAGTCGTTTATCACCAGCATTGCTAACAAGGTGAGTATTCAGTAGGCCTATTCATTAATCGTCATTTGTAAAAAGAATATTTACATTGAAATAGTATTGCAAGGATCGGCTCTTAGTAGAAAATGTAATAAATAAAAATAAGATACAGTTGAACTTGCCTAAGTCAAATCCAAAATGTCATTGAAATATTGTTCGACTTAGATAAAATTTGATTTACAGATTGTTAATTAATGGAAAACACAATTTGGCGTGTAAAATTATATCGACTTAAGGCAAAGTCGACTTCTGAAGTTTAACTGTATAATAAAATGGGTAAAAATATCTCCCATTGGACACCATCCTGATATTTCTAATTCTAGGTTTCAGAACTAGAATTTATATTTTAAAAGGTGGCTTAAACTACATGGAAAAATCTATACCCCTGTCGAAAAACCATCCCGGTATTTTTTAGTGGTTTCAGTCCTGGAATTGTAAAATTTCAAATGTTGGACTTAACATTTTAAATGCTTAAAAATAATTTCCATACTTTTAAAAATGTTGAAACCTTTGATTGGAGGTCGACTACAAATTTTAACAATGGAACAGGATATAATATTGGAGGCTGATTAAGGTTTAAGTATGTACTTCAATGCTATTGAAAAAGATACCTTGAATCTTGAATGAGATATATAACTGGAAATATCATAAAACTATAGTTATTTTCACAAGGACGGTACAAAGGTTCGTCCCATTGTGAAGGTTTGATAAAATGTGTGCACCTTCCAAGAACATCAGATTGCAAGTTTTTGTATTTTTATTTTACAACATTTTACCATTAACACGCCAAAAAAAATATGATTTTGATGATAGTTTAAAAAATTTAAACTTGTTTCTAGAACTATTATGGATCCGCCAAAGCGATTCTATCGGACAATCCCCTGGGCCTGACTTGTGGGATGGTCTGCCCAACCAGCGATTTGTGCGTGGGAGGATGTAATTTATTCGCATCGGAGGAAGGCCCGATCAATATTGGTGGACTACAACAGTTTGCAGTGGAGGTATGTGTTGGTGTTCATTCACTATCCTGATTACCATAACAACTGAATATTGACAATGGTATTTGATACAATTGGATGGATAATTTAGTCACCTTTTTGTCAATTTTAAAAAATTAATTTTGACTCTTTACAGCATTTGCTTATATCCATTTAATTTTCCATTAATCATTTAGGCTCTGAATTTAATTATGAATCTATTTACTCTTAACTTCATCTCATACATGCATGTAACCCTCACATACATATGCAGGTTATTGATAATTATATACAGTAGTCAATGTTAGTCAACTTGTAATTGCAACTGTTATATATGCATTAGGTGATGCTTAGTGATCACTAACCTTTAGTGATTTTACTAAGTTTTTATCATTTGAAAGACAATATGCATGTGATAGTTTAAATATATAATATGCTATCCATCTTATATATGCATTAGATGAGTAAACATATAAGCTATCTCATTAATACATGCATGAGATTAATAAGTAAGCAAACTATTGCCTAGACTAGTCAAGTAAGTGCCTGATTGCCAATGTGGGACTGAGAGGAACATTAAAAACGATTGTAGCAATTGCAATCAAGAACAATGTGTTGCAATCTCCATGGCATCCGAGTCGGCCGACAGCCATCAGCAGGGAGTTATAGCAAGTTTATACCATAATATAACAAGAAACATTGGATGCATTATTTATTTGTGTTATATATTTTGTTTGTTCATTTGTTTTTTTGATTGATTCATATATTTATGTGTTTCTTGTTTGTTTATTTATCTAATTAAATTAAGTATTGTTGTTATCATCATCATTTATATTAATGTCATTACTATTTACTAGGTCTTTAAGACAATGAAGATACCACAGATAAGGGATCCTAGTCAGCCTCCAATATCTGATTTACCAGAGAGCTTCCAGAGCAAAATTGCCCTTATTGGGTGTGGACCAGCCAGTGTAAGTTGTGCTACGTTTCTTGCTAGAATGGGCTACTCCGACCTCACAATATTTGAGAAAGAAGAATACATTGGCGGTCTAAGTTCCTCCGAGATTCCACAGTTCCGTCTTCCATATGATGTTGTGTCGTTTGAAGTTGACCTCATGAAAGACCTTGGAGTAAAGGTATGTATATAGCTTAACTCCACCAGCGAAACCTTTGGTTGTGACTATGTGTGCACTGAAACGTGGAGATCTTCGGCCCACATTTCAATTCCATCCACTGCTCTCCTAGTGTTCCACCTCAAGGCTGAAATGTTATATTACCCTACAGGTAGTTTTAAGATAAGATGTTGGTCCAGTTTGCAGTGGCCCATGTGCACAATAGAAAAATAAGTACAACTGCTGAGATGTTACTTGTTGCAGTTGTCATTGTATGTTATGTGACACTGACCTTGTGTAGGCTATAGGTGTAATGTCTACATGCCTGAGTAACAGGTGATCAATAGACTATGAAAGCATGACTGGCTGTGTGTGTGTGTGTTCTAGGCAGTTGAAGTCCATTGTGTTGTTATGAGCATGCAATGATTTCACCAGTTTTCAGTGTTGTGTTGTTCATCCTGCAAGTTGTCAGTGAGCAATTCAGTGAAAGAACAAAAGTGTTTTGACAGCAACCATTTCACTAGTCAAGCTGCGTTTATTTAGTATTTGTTCATTCCAACTCCCTTACTGCTGTGTGACAGTAAAAAGTACTGCCCAATGCACCACTACCCTACTGCACAGGTGAGCAAAGTGCGCCTCCTCGGTAATTTTTTTGTAGCCCGCGAAAACGAATTAAAAACCCTATGTGTGCGGCACACCTTGTAGAAACGGCACGACACCGATCATCTATAAAAAGTAATATTAAAACTGAGAATAAAGTGGTGTAAATAGCAGTTCATGAAGGTTTTGGAAGTACACTAGAACCATCAAAATTTGGCTGGAGCCCTAGTGTTAAATCAAAAAATTTTATGCCCACCCCTGCCCTACTGGTTTGGATTGGACTTAGTCGGTTATCTATGATTCATAAATCTTCCTACCCTATGTACAGATTTTTATTTTATAATTTTGTGAATGATATATAAAATAATTTATTTAATTCTTTTCAAACATATATTGGGTAAATTTAAATTACAGTATTTCAGGAAGTGGGAGAGTGGGAGAAGAGATGTGGTATAGAAATAAACAATAGAAAATGACAAAAGAAATCTGTACACTGCAATAATTAGGCCAAATAAAAAATATCACTAGTTTCTCATCCACTCGCGCATCTATCTGCTTCACCAAATTTATTATATACTGTATTATTTCCTTATGAATATAAAATTTACAAAAATTTCTCTTTCATGGTAGGGATGAATCATGTCTAGCGCTTTGCTTTCCTACTTGGTAAAAGTGATAAAATAGCAGCTGTTTACCATCAACCATCATGAATTTGCCATCTCTGAGTAAAATATTTAATGGATATGTCACCTATTATAGTGATTTCGCTGAGTGGCATATCCTTGGCGCTCAACCCCTAAAGAAATTAAATTAAATTAACTTTTTAAAAAAAGTGCTCTCATTCTACTTTTTTCAAAATATTAGTATGAGAAACTTCTTTATTTTTAATTTGGCCTAGTCTGTATACTGCATACATTAAATACTGGATTATATCATGGAGTTATAAAATATTATATATATTAACTTGATATTTTAACCAAACACTGCAGGTAGCAAAATTGCCAGTAGACTCTCAAGTCAAGCTTAGAATGTACATATACTCCAAAATGAGTAACGCAAATATTGTAAATAAATAAGCTTACTATTAGATAACATTCTATGCAACTTAAACATGATAAATGAAATAGTTAAGAAACTATCTTATGAATTTGTCTTTTATGTAATTTAATCTGAACAGAGCACTTCAAAAGGTCAAATTCATTGGCTATTTGCCAGATGTGAGAGGCTACTTTAGTTTTCCTGACCTTGCCATATTGTATTGTAATTTTAGGTGTGTGTCCCTCCATTGTCCAATGGCAAAGCATACTACTGACCTCAATAACAACCTAAACAAACTGATGAGAATACAATGTACATGTGTAACCACTGATATACAAAGCTCCAAATTACAACATATTTTATTCTACAATTCTGTTCTCTTCTATTTTACAACTGGGCTTTTCAGTATTAAATGTAATTACATAAATTTCATGATCTATTGTATATTTTTATCTGACCACTTATTTTTATTATATTATATGAACTCCTTACCACCAATATTCCAAAATTATTAATGATTATCTGACACAGTACAGTATGGTAGGTCACAAGCTTCCCTGATTGGTTGCAGTGATGCTAAAAACAGGTGTTATGAAGGCACTCTGGGCTGCCTAAAATAATTAATGAGATGGCATTTTATCAAAAACACTACTGGTACAAATTATTGACCAAGTAAAAGTAAAAATTAGTTTCTCTTCCCATCCTAACTTAGCAATTTTGAAAAAGGCCAATTTTTGTTAAAATGGCCATCACATTATTACATTATGCAGGTATCTCAGCAAAATCAATCCACAAATGAAGATTATATAAAAAAAAATGGCACGTGTGACATTTGAGGCATGTTTTTGTGGCAAAATTGTTAAGTTGTTGCACGGTCCAGTATTGAGTAAATTCATGAGCTATAAAATATGGGAGCTTAAAAAATTGCCTAAAAATCTAAATTTGTTTTTCACTATAGATCAACAGTCGTCTTATTAACCATGTCCCAAAGTATTAGTTCTGGAAGTGGTTAACAAATTGTTTATTTAACGTTATTTTTTTATAGTTCATTCTATTTAACAATGTATGCACAAATATCTTAGAAAGGCAATTACTCAAAATCATGTTTATCTTGACTCTAAGAGTACTGTACTTTCACTTTCCAATATAACTTAGGCTTGAAATGTCCAATTTGAATGAATGACCTTTCATTTTAAAAATCACATACTCAGGTATCTGAAAATACCAATAACTTTGAATTTCAATTTTTGCTACAACTTAGCCATTTTGCCACAGCATGCCTCATATATTATCAAAAACACTAATGGTATAAATTATTGGCCAGGTAAAAGTAAAAATTAGTTTCTCTTCACATCCTGCTTAGATATTAAAAAAAAATGAAGCCAATTTTTGTTTAAATGGCCATTATATCTTTTTCAGATCACATTATTACATTATGCAGGTATCTCAGCAAAATCAATCTACAGATAACAATTATATTTTGTAAAAAACAAAGTGGTATGTGCTACATTTATTAAATATTAAAATAATATAAAATTTTAAAAATCAAGGCAGCAGCAAAAAAAGGACACCAACAGGAATGAGTAACCTAAATTTATGTTTGTTTGGACTTAATTAAATATATTATTATTATTACTATCATTATTTTTATTATTTATAATGTAGATATAATCAATTTCTTGAGCTGAACAAATACTTTAAAATAATTTTAAGTATTGTATGAATTTGTTAAGATGGAAATAGACAATTTCCAAAAAAAGATTTCCATGTACAATGGACAAATAAAGTTTGATTTCATTTATATTGACAATGGAGACAATTTCTTTACATTCAATCTGGAAGGTATTTTCAATATTTATTTTTTGAAAAGCAGATTATTCTTTTTATTATTTATTATTATTATTATTGTTAATAATAAATAAGTACTACAGGTAGTCATTAGTTGGAGGTACACACCTATTTGGTGACAGTGGTTTAGTCTGCTTTTGTGCTTTCCTGGCAGCTAATGACTATGGTCTATTTAATGTACTTGTCAATGTTATGTTCATTTGATATTTTCTGATTTGTATTATATTTTGTATATCTTTTGCCTGAATAAATAATAATAATTATTAATATTATTTATTTTTATATATTTTTGTAAATAACATTATATTATTTTAACTATATTTTAATAGGTAGAATTCTTCTTTCATTCAATCTGGAAGGTATTTTCATTATTTATTTTTTTGAAAATCAGATTATTCTTTTTATTATTTATTAATTATTTTTATATATTATTTTTTATATATGACATTATATTATTGTAACTATATTTTAATAGATAGAATTTGGCAAAGGTGTTGGAATGGATGGCCTGACACTAGATTCATTACGTAATCAGAAGTACGAGGCAGTGTTCCTTGGAATTGGACTCCCAGAAGCAAAGCGAGCGCAAATATTCGACGGCCTAACAGTGCAGAATGGGTTTTACACCTCCAAAGACTTCCTACCTCTTGTCTCAAGTGCCAGTAAACCAGGTAAGGGTAAAAAAGAATCTTGCTTTAATTAGATGATGATGATCATGGAGGAAAAAATCCCTCTGTAATATGACTGATATCACGGTGATGACGTTGTTGAAGATGATGGTAATGATCTTGTTCGTGGTGGTTGTAACATTGACAAGAAATTTACAGTAGTGTAATTATAATGGCAATGTTGGTAGTGATTCTGATCTAAACAGATAAAAAAGTAAAGTGGCTATGCTAATGTATGTCAGCGAAAAGCCCCAACCATATGGTATTTTTTGTTATGAAAAATCACAGTAAAAATGGTATGTATGGCAACATGTGTATAATATGCAGGGCCCAATAGAAATAAGTTTTTAACTGTTTGGGCTTGCCCTGGGTTAATAATATACAATAAATAGAATGTTTTTTTTTTTGTTATATTTAATTAGAAAATTGTGGCAGTATTGAAAAAAAAACACATTTTTATTTCACTTGGCCTATAATGACCACTAACTAGGGGGAGGGGGAGCAGAAGAGGTTGCGTATGATTGTGCCAGTTTCCAAGTGGAAAAAAATCCTCGTAGTGGTGGTGTAGTAGCTGTGATACTTGCCTTCCAGTCCCAGGCCCCTCGGTTCAAATCCTGTGTCATAAAGGTCTGTCCACATGATCAAATTTTCTTTGACCAAAAAAAATCTGTTGCCATATTATATATTTAGTCATATGCCTATATATGGTCATGATGTGATGTTATTACTAAATAAAATTTAATAGTCTTGGCAGGGCTTAAGCCTTTAGAGCACAGCTATTTACAATATTTTATTTATTGTTAGAGGGATAGAATGCTTTGTCATTAGCTGGAAGAAGGTTCACGCTTTTCATGGTTAAATAAATAAAAAAGAAAGATAGCAGTTTGTATTTGATCAGGTGTCCTAATTTTTGATAAAAAATATGAGCTATTTGTAAGTGTATTGTGCCTACTGACACAAATACCAATTGCAATAGTTGGTAGGCCTATGCCCAATACTTCAGTATGGTAATTATTCTCAAAACATAGCTTATATAATATATGGGCAATAATAAAATATTTTCTTAATAATGCCTCTTACTAGTAAATAGTAAAAATATCCCACAGTGCAGTGGTGTTTACAAAATGATCTTCCCAAAACAAAGGCATTCCACTCCCTCATAATTAGACATTGTTTATAGAGCACATATTCACGGTTAAGTTCAGGTTCGTTTTATTTCAGACAACACAAAAAATAATACATTGGAAAATTCTTCTGTAAAGTAACCTAATTACAAGGCCAGTGTGTTAATAATTTAATTATAATAATTAATAATAACAAATTAATAATAATAATAATTACAATAAATAGCAATAATTAAAAATAACAATAATAATAAATGGTGTAATTAATAAAAATAATAATAATAGTAATAGCATTAATTACAATAAACAGCATATAGATGAAAATACAGAGGTGAAAAATGTTCTAGTTGTGTTATTTTACCAAATTTCATTTATTTTTAGAGGGTTAGAGTACTTTGGTATTAACCGGAAGGTTCGCACTTTTTATGCACAACCCTTAATATTTATTATAAGTAAAATTAATAAAGTATTGAATATTAGATATTCAATATGGATGAGTTGATATATTATATTGCCTAGAGTTGAGTAGGCCGCAGGTCACTATTTCCTGCATTAAAATTGAACCATATCCTCTGCATCCTGTTACTTTCCCTTTATGCTGCATGGGCATCCGGGCAACGTCGCTTGCAGTCGAGTGGCTGTTACCAAAATTTTAATTTATTAATTTATACAAAGATCACTAGTCTTTTTTTTTTTTTTTTTTTTAAGATCACTAGTCTTTTTTTTTTTTTTTTTTTTTTTTTTTAAAGCATTGTCGTTTCTCCTTTGTCGTTCTTCCCTTGTGTTCGTTCCGTCGTGTTTTGTCTTGTCTTTGATTATAGAACAAATTACTTTTCATTTTTCTCTGGTGGAGCCAGCCGTTAAGCCATTTGGGCTTATTTGACTTCTCCAGACACAATTGCATTCGATTTTGCTTGCATCTTTATTATTTATGTCTTGATACCACCTTTATGCATTGTGTGAATAAATAAATATGAAATGAAAAAAAATGAAATAATGTGAAATGATGCAGTTGGGGATGGGTATGATCGATGCAGAGTTGAACATCTTGGTGGTATAACATGCTCCTAGCTGGGTTCATTTCTGTGACACAGTGTAGCCGGGTTTGTTTTTTGTTTTTTTTCTTAACAACTAAAACTACTCCACTACATAAGCCTCATTATGAGGAGGTGAACAATTACACAAAGCAGGTTACTCATTATAAAGAAGAAAACATTATTAAATTTTCAATGTAAACCCACCCATGCTTGCTTTGCCTGAAGCTGTTATTTCAGTTTTAGCAGTGCAGTCCTGCAGAGCAAGAATATATCATAATGCGTAACAAGTGTTTGACCTCTGACAATATCAATATACCAACAAAAAAAAAATCAATCTATTGTTTAACTCAAATGCATTATTAATGAATGAGTGAAACTGAAATCAAACATATGCTCGTATGAGAATCAAATGATTATGAACTATAAATAGGACATAAAATATTATTCAAGAAATATTTAGTTCCAAGAAATATCTAGTTCCAGTAAAAAATAAATGTATAAATCCATATCTGGGGTATAATTATCCTCCTATTTTTGAGTAACTAAATATGTGTCAAAGACAAGCCAAACCAGTCACTTTGCCACATATGTGATATTTGGCATATTTGGCGGAGTTAGGGGGGAAGGGGTGTGGTTTAAAATATGGCGGAAAAGAAAAATACATTCACAGTTAAGTCTGAGAGTGCCATTCCCTAACTATAGAGAAGCGCCATAGACATAAACTGAATTATCCCAATAATTACCATCCTTCTGTAGAATTGCCTTTCTGTGCCATTTTTATTTTTTCTCTTCCTTTTCAAAAGTACAAAATCCAGATCAATTTTTAACTTTTTCCCCCTAACTGTATTACAGTAGAACCCCTATTAAGGGGCACCTTCGGGACCAAATACAGTTTCCCCTTAATTAAATTGGGGTGTCCCTTGAATATCGGTTGGCTTAGGGTTAAAATTTATACTTTCCCTGTTTTGTGACTTAAAAGTATCCTCTTAATAGGGTGTCCCAAAGGGGTTCTACTGTATTTGCTTCTGAGCAAGAGCAAACATACACATTTATGAACATAAATGTTACATTTAATTTGCAATTTAATTTTTTTTTAGGAATGTGCTCATGTAAGAAACAGCTTCCTCAACTCCATGGCAACGTGATTGTATTGGGTGCTGGTGATACCGCCTTTGATTGTGCAACTTCAGCCCTACGATGTGGAGCTAAGAGGGTGTTCATTGTGTTCCGAAAAGGGTTCACCACAATCAGAGCGGTGCCTGAAGAGGTAAGCTACAGTACTAGCGTCTTAACATAATTACTAATACTTAAACGTCATTTTAGTTCTGAGTTACCCATTGAGAATCTAAAAATGTTGTATTTTTATGCGACAGATGGAACTGGCTAAAGAGGAGAAGTGTGAGTTCATGCCGTTCTTATCACCACGTCAAGTTTTACGTAAAGGAGACAGAATCACTGGCTTGGAACTATGTCGCACCGAGCAGAAGGATGACGGAACTTGGTTTGAGGATGAGGAGCAGATCGTACGACTCAAGACAGATTACATTATCTCGGCGTTTGGATCGACCTTACTTAACACTGAAGGTGAGGGAGTGATTATTGGCGTATCACCTTTCGAGGGACTAAGACCCGGGCCCCTAGTACAAGTGGGCCTCCGAGTGGCCCATACTAACACCCTGCACTCTACTACAGAGCCTTGGCATTACTGCCAAGTCAAAAGAACCATAACTAGCATTAAAACAATTATAATTCTTGGGTTTTGAATGAGGTGAGTTCATGAATATCTTACATGAACTCACATGACAACATTTGTATACGAATACAAATTCCCAGCTTAAAAGGACCCAACTAGGACTACAAACTGAAATTTAAATGGTAGACACAACAGTGAAGTACTAAAAGAGCTACTAGAATTTACAGGAAAATATGCATCACTTTTATCAAAGTAACTGAGCACAATAACTATAATGCATGCAAATGACAATGTAATCATCAACAGAAGTGTTTATTTATGTGTGCATTTATACTTTTTATACTTTCACAGTTAAGAAGGCAATGCACCCAATAAAACTGAACCAGTGGGGTTTGCCAAGTGTAGATATGGGGACAATGCAGACCTCGGAACCCTGGGTGTTTTGTGGGGGCGATTTAGCCGGAGTTGCACAGACCACTGTGGAGTCTGTTAACGATGGTAAAACAGCTGCCTGGTTCATGCACAAATACTTGCAGGTAAAATACCGTAATATACACTACCAGTAATTATAATAATATTAATAATAAAAAATCTTGTAATGTGCCAATTTCAAGAAGAGTGATCGAAGGACTAGTGTATGTTAAGACAGCAAACTGTAAAGAAATGAGTTTTAAGTTCAGGTTTAAATATAATATTAGATGTCCTAATGGTAGAAGGCAAATATTTGTTCCAAACGAGGCAGCAGATGTTCTTTGGCCACATGTTAGGACAAAAGTCTTAGCATACCACTTCCAGAGGTTTTTGTATTTCCGTTTATTAGTGTCCAAACAGTCAATGCTTTACACTATTTTTTATCTGATAGTCCTCTAGTAAATTTTAAACTAAGACATAACATGGTAGTTTGGGCATCTGATTAGAAGAGACAGCTTCCAGAAAATTTTGATGAGATGTGGAAAAATTCTGGTGTACCATTGCATCTCACTCCCTTCCCTAAATAGGGATGGATAGAGCATGCAAAAACAAAACAAGAAATAAATAATATTTACCATAAATTGTCTTTGTTTTCCTTTGAAGTCACTGCATGGCTTACCAGTGCCAGCAACTCCAGCATTGCCAAAATTTTTTACTGCCATTGATAGCGTAGACCTGAGTGTGGAGATCTGTGGCTTGAAGTTCCCAAATCCATTCGGCCTGGCTAGCGCTCCGCCAACCACTACCATGGCTATGATGAGACGTGGTTTTGAAGCTGGTTGGGGCTTTGCTCTCACAAAGACATTCAGCTTGGATAAGGTAGGTTATGTGTCAATTCTCGGGGTCATTTTTAACTTGCAAGTTAATATTAATTATTGATTAATTAATTATTGATTGATTGATTGATTGATTAATTTGGTGGTGACATATACACACTACATACATTCCAACCCTCCTGAATCGATTGGGAGTCTCCTGAATTTACAGGCAATATCCCGGCCTCCCAAATTTTTTCAAATTCCTCCAAAAAGAGAACAACCCCTAAACACCAAAAACAACTAATTTAGTGGTTTTTTGTTACCAATAATTGAATATTTCTGGGTTAATTTTCCCTATGTGCACTGACTTTATAAACGATGTCAGCATACAGAGGCTTCCAAGTGTTGCTGATACCACTCGCAAGATCAAAATGCACATTATATTATGAAAAAAATTTAGCTTTTCAACATTTCTTGGGTGGGGCGCACTTTACCATGGCGCATCCAGAGTCTCCTGAATTTTGAGTTCCAGGGGTTGGAACGTCTAACACTACAGTAAAGTGATATAAACAGGCCCTATACCCCTGGTTCTTAATTAATTTACTTAAAGGGCCAAATTAATTTTAAAGTTGACCTGCACGGACCAAAGATAATCTCCAAGTTGCAAGCAACTTGTTATACTTTATTTACCAAAGGTGAATCTCTGAGATGCTGTGGATGAAGCCCCCTGTTGACTGCGCACACCTTTGAAGTTTTTAGGCAATTGAAAAAAAATAAAGCATATTTTCATCCAGTAAGATTTTCGATTTGGGTGAGGTGGGAAGTGAGCATTATGCTGAGGCTGTTAAGGGACCCGGCTGGGTTCAGGCTTCTATCAAAGTAGCATTTTGGGGCCATATTTAATAAATTTCTGAAACCCATAATTCATGAATATTCTATTTTAATTTCTGTTTCATCCATTCAAACTACTGTATGGGTCATGACCAAGTTAGAGTTGCCAAGATATTTTTCAGGTGTGCCGGACGTTTATTGTTGTCTTTGACTGGTAATAGAACATTTCATGTCCTACATTTTTTGTGCAAGTGTAACTGAGTGCAAAGTATCATTTCCTTAACTGGCATTTTCTCCACAATGTAAAACTAGATATTTTTCTCCTATCATATTGACCTTGATTGTTATGTTCTATAACCCCGGTTCTTAATTTATTTGTTCGAAGAGTCAAATTATTTTTAGAGTTGACCTAACAGGCCAAATATAATCTCAGCCGAGTTGAAAGCAATCGTTATACAAATAACATAGGTCTATTTAAAAGTTCTTTTTTTTTTCAAAATTTAAAATTATAGGAGCCTCTTTAAAATGTACTAGGCCTACACTAGTGGTAATGAAACACAACCATCAGAACAAAACACATGGACAGAATTTCAAGGCATAGAGAGTCCTATATTTGCAAGACAATCGAAATGTATTTTTATAAGCACTGTTCTTTCACTGTCTATTATCATGTAAAATAAGTACACTTACGAATTTTGTTGTCGATAACAGCTCAATGATCATTTTACCTCTAAGATTTATAACAATGGCCTTCTTCAAACATGAGTCATGAATCAGGACTCTGCAATCCTTCAAATTTTAACATGTCTATGTTTTTACTTATTCCTCTGGGTATACTATGTTAAATTTAGCACAGCTAATAAGAATTAATACCAACCTTGGGAATTTGTTTATAGTTCAGTTTACTGGGTTTAATTTTAGATCTGAGTGGATTAACCCTTTTAATCACATCACATTTTTTTTTTCCTTGTTTGAAGCACGCAGTGAATAATATGTAAAGTACCCAGTGATTGATTTTTGGCGCTATTTATGGCCTATATCATCTTGCTCATTTTTCAAACCATTTCATTACCCATGGGTTGCATTTTTGTCTTTACTTTATTGAAAATGTATTCATCAAACTTTTATTATGTATTAATTTTTTTTTTCTCACGGACCAAATTTAATTGCCTCGCAGGCCAAATATTAAGAACAACTCCCTGTTAGGACTAATCCTGTAGGATTATTCTCAAGCCAAAAATAAAGTTACAGACATAATCGTAACAAAAACACAGTAATTTTTTCAGTGATACAACAATTGTTCAACATAATATTGGCACACAATCAGTATTTTCTGTGTAATTTCACCTATCCTACAGTATACCAACTATTATACCAAGGCTTTAAGGCCTAAAAACACTTCGCCTGTAAAACCTTAGGTCTATTCAAAATAAAATCTGGTATGTCATATTCTTTTGGTGTTTGTCGATTGGTGGTAATGAATTTGATTATAATAATAATGTTGTATTTATATAGCGCATATTGCACATTGCCCCTATGCCTATTATAGATCTGGGTGGGGTCACACCCTTACTTCACATTGGCCCAGTGCTGTGTTTTGGTCTTCACCTTATTAAAGTAAATATTCATCGAATGATTATTACTTTTAAATATATTTTTTTTTTGATATTTTAATTTTTTCTCCTGGGGCCGGCAAGAATAACTTGCTCTGCAGGCCCAATTTGGCCCGCAGACCACCTATTAAGAACCAGGGCCTTATACCTTTACATTAGAAATTTATGCAACTGAAATTAACAGACATACAGACAAGGTTCAGAGCAGTTGATATTGCCTATTTAACCTATCTAGAAATTGAAAATGTTTCCTAATTAGTATCTGACATAGAATTGTAATCCGGATTTACCTTAAAAAGCAGATGTACAGTAGAATATAAGACCACATTAGACCCATCATCCTCATTCTCTTTTCACCAGTAGACATCTAAAGCTTCTGATAACCTAACCTACTGTATATTGAGAATCAGGTATCAAGATATTTCCAATTATTTTCTTCTTAATTCAGATACCATTTGCACTACGACAACCTATACAGTATTGAGAATCAATTATCAAGATATTTTAAGATATAGTAGGTATGCTGTAAAATGAGAGAGAGAAATATCGACATGAGTAAAGGATTCACAAGATCTACCATATGACCAGAATCATACCATATCTTATCTATTGTGATTCTAGGATATTGTGACAAATGTTTCTCCAAGAATTGTCCGTGGAACAACTTCAGGTCATATTTTTGGACCTGGACAAGGTGCGTTTCTAAACATTGAGTTAATCAGTGAGAAGACAGCTGCTTATTGGTGCCAAGGTGTTGCTGAACTGAAGCCAGACTTCCCAGATAGAATCATCATAGCAAGTATCATGTGTGGCTATAACAAGGATGACTGGACTAAGCTTGCCAAGATGGCCGAGGTAACAACATCCATTATTAAATATTTCATTAATTTTATAGATTTGATAGTAAAGATTGGTTGTCTTGTAGAGAACAAACTTAATGTTCTTCTTGTTATTAAAACTGTTGCAGTCTCAAGGAATTCTATCAGATGTACAAACCAGTCAAAATAATCCAAAATTTATTCATTAGATTTGGAAAATCACAGTTATTCACTATTTTACAGGATGCTGGAGCTGATGCACTGGAGCTAAACCTTTCTTGCCCCCATGGAATGGGAGAACGTGGCATGGGCCTGGCATGTGGACAGGATCCAGAGTTGGTCCTCAATATATGTCGCTGGGTTCGGGCTGCCATCAAGGTGCCGTTCTTTGCCAAACTGACCCCCAACGTCACCAATATTGTGAATATTGCAACTGCAGCGCACGAAGGTATAATTAACAAAAACTTAGTTACTGTAAACTTTAACTCATAGAAATAATTAAATATAACAATATATTAATGCCTGTACTATTGTTAATATATTATTAATATATTAATAAATTGTACAGGTACAATTTTCAACTTTTAGACAACACTGCACTTACTATGGTGTAAAATTATTTTAAATTGGCATGTTCAAATGTTTCTCAAATACCACTATTTAGGTGGTGCTGATGGTGTGACAGCTACCAACACCGTGTCCGGACTAATGGGGCTGAGAGCAAATGGAAAAGCATGGCCAGCCGTCGGTAAGGAAGGTAGAACAACTTACGGAGGCATGTCTGGTAATGCCATTAGACCAATCGCATTGCGTGCAGTATCCGCCATAGCTAGGGCATTACCAGGTTTTCCAATTCTGGCAACAGGTGGCATTGATTCTGCAGAGGCGGGTCTCCAGTTCTTGCATAGTGGAGCTTCAGTTTTGCAGGTAAATTATAACCTATGTAAATATTTATTATTCATCTATTGAAATTCAGCCCAACCACAGCACTGGAAGCCACTTCTATGTATAAAAGGGGTTACATTTTATATAATAATATAATATAATTATATAGCGCTTAATGCCTTAACAAAGCCACTAAGCGCTTCACATTACTACCCGGTCATTGGATCAAACACATTGAACACCAAATTAAATTATTAAATTAAATTATATTATTATTCCATAACATTGCGGCTAGTAATCAGCGCAGTTGTGTTGGAACCTACCAGGTACCCATTTTAGTCCTGGGTGGAGAGAGGCAACCGTAGATAAAGTGCCTTGCCCAAGTGATTTGCACAGCGAGAGTTTCGAACCCCCGACCTCGAGGTTGGGAGTCCAAGCCACAACCGATGAGCCAACCGCTTCAATATATATACCATGAAATACTTGCCTTGTAAGCTCAAACATGTTGTGAACCACTTTAGAGCCTGTCAACCATACCTGCTGGGGTGTCAGTGCATGGCCTACCGAGAATGAACAGAGTGCAGTTGGAGCTCCTGACCACAGGGTCAATAATCACAGTTGAAATTATAATATTCGTAAACTAATGGTTTTATTGGGTGTTATACTGGTCTCCCTCTAATTATTGATATTTTATTTGATACCACTGCCACCTTGCAATTGGTTTGTCATAATAAACTAATATATACACTGTAACATATTATTGACAATAGAATATGAATATGGTGTCAAGAATTGACAATGTTCTAATTATGAACGAAATGTAGAATCAATTATGGCCTCACGTTTGTCATTCTTTGGAGTTTACGATACTCATTCTATTTGCAAATAATCAGTGGATCCTTTGGTATTACTGACAAAGACTATTATAGGAGTGGTTGTTTGAAATTATATTTATATCCCCCACACACTTTGAGAGCTCAATGTTTTGCATTTTTGTGGTCAGGTCTGCAGCTCAATTCAGAACCAAGATTTCACTGTCATCGATGACTACATCACTGGGCTGAAAGCTCTACTTTACCTGGAGAGCCTTGATGAAATGAGTGACTGGGATGGACAGAGCCCACCAACAATGAGACATCAGAAAGGAAAGCAAATACCAAAGATTAGTGATATTATTGGAAAGGTATTGATATGTTGTTGTTCATTGTGCTGGTCCTTTCTGGATTGAACAGTGTCCCAAACTTGTTTTCAACAGAATCAAAGAGCCAATAGAAATTAGTGATAATAATAATCATTAAATATAATTAGGTGATATTAAAAATTGTGCATTTATAAACAAAAATCAAGGTAACAACATGTACTAATTGTCATTGTTATAACTTTATTGTACGTTTGAAAGTGACACTTTCTTATACCTTGTTTAGTGAACCAACTGTCCGCCAATAACAATGATTTTGAATAAAAATAAAATTTTATTTTTGGCTAATTAGCACACCCACCACCACAAAAATTAAGTTTTTTTTACAGTTTTATTATACCAGCCACTGTCTTAAAACCTCCAAAAATATGGTGTATATTTCTTCCTAATTATATAAATTTTAAGCATTCCAATACATTGTTTACATTCACCAATAAAATTTAATTTTAATTTTCTCCTCCGTCTGGATGTTTTTGCAAACCACTTGCTAATTTTGTTTCACCCTCCACGGACGATCTTTAAAAAAATAAGTTCGCAAATCAAGGTATAAAAAAGGTATAAATAACACTAATGGCATATTGAATTCTCAAAGCACAAACAGTATTTGACATTCCTGAATAAAAATGTCGAAGGATGTTAAATGATCTTCTACGGTCATCTGGTATAAGTTCCAAAAAATTTGGGGTGGAAGACAAAAAACCAAGCATGATTCCTGCCAGACCTCTTAAACTTGTTAAATAATTTATGGATACAAATTATAATAATCATACTTTAAGTTTGGGTATTGTAAATTCATTGATATTTGATATTTACAATATTAATAATATTATGTTCTGTTCCTTCAGCACCTGCCGTCCTTTGGTCCATACTTGGAGGAACGTAAGAAGTTAGTGACACAACATAAAAAGACCGTGGAACTCTGTGATGATGATTTGGAACCAGAACCACCGAGTCTTAAAAAGAAACCAGTGCCAACTGTAAAGGTGAGTGCAACACTAATTGTTCTTACTCATAGATATGTTTAGCAGTTTTCTTAAGGAAAACTAGTGAAAACCTACTTGTAAAATATTATTACCATTTAAATCTATGAATTCTACGAATCAACATTATTCAAGAAACTAATAGGTTGTAGAATTTTGGCACAACGGGTTTACAGTTTTTCTATAGCTTAAACGTAGTTGTGCATTGCACCACTAACTTACCAGTCTCCCCCACTCATATATATCTCAGCAATTTGGTTACCAACTATATATATTGATATGGAAAATAAAGATTCCGATTCTTCGGTAATATTTTGAGGTGATGCTAATCTGTCTTTTTTTTAACTCATCTCTCTAGGATGTAATTGGCCGTGCCCTGTCACAGATAGGAACCTATGGCGACTTGAATAACAAAGAACAAGTCGTGGCGCTGATCGACGAAGAAATGTGTATTAACTGCGGCAAGTGTTACATGACTTGCAACGACAGCGGCTACCAGTCCATCAAGTTTGACCCAGAGACCCATTTACCTCATGTGACCCAAGACTGCACAGGATGCACCCTGTGTGTCAGTGTCTGTCCCATCATCGACTGCATCACAATGGTGCCTCGCCCCACACCTTACATACCTAACAGGGGAATTCCCCTTGCGGTTACACCAATAGCTTAAGTGTTTGACTTTGAATGATTGATAGTGTCATGTTTTCAATACCTTTTTTAGACAAATCCCCTTGCCTTTTTAAGTTAAAAGTATGAACCAAGAATTGGATATTGCTTGCCTTTAGGCAGTATCCCAATAGTGTCGTGGCCCTATCATTATATACCTATATTAGGGGAATCCCCACAAATCACGCCAGTAAATTTGCACCATGTGTGTCGTGTTGTTCTGCTATCCTTAAACAGTATACTTAATAGGGGAATTCCCTTGTAGTTACACTATTGCTTTGAGTTTAAAGTATATTTTTGTGTACATTGAATCCAATATCTGTAAATAAATACTATATTAGTACAGGATATTATTGCTTGCCTACAGACAACATCCAAATGTCTGTAATCTTATATACTATTAGGGAGTGCCCACAAACCACACTAGTGCTTTAAGCTTAAAAATACATTACGTGGCACTGAATTCAAGAACCAAGCATTAAACAAACAAAAAAACAAAAAAAAACAGTGCCTTAAAATTAAGTTTCAGTAGAAATATTCAACCCATGAACATAGAAAGAGGGGTTCTCCTTGAAGTAATATTTTATGGCCTTTTTCTGCAATAATAAACTTCCTCATTTATTATTTTTGTTTTTTAAATACCGTAATTGAAAAAGAATTTTAATCATTTGTGTTTGTAAGTAAAATAGTCTTCATTGGGAAAATATATATAAACTATGCTTGGGTTGAAAAGACTTGGAGAGTATTTTTCTATGGTTAAAAATTATCGACATTTTAATATTACAGATTTGCCACAAAGAAAAATTCAGAGCATTTGTGGGAACTCATATGTGAGGTGTCTCCACAAAATGAATATCATGGTTAGAAAATCAAAAATTGAGTTTATATTATATTTGGGTAGATCAAATTATAAGCTATAATTTGGTCTTTGAATGGCTTCCCTAGGATAAATAGATCCAGAGATGTGAGCATTTAAAGTTTAGGTGTACGAGAACCATGTTTTGAGAAAATCGGTCTCAAAGATAACCTCTACAAATAATAAGACTAGAATTACAGAATATGCGCAGAGAACAAACACTGTTTTAGTAAGAAAATTCCTAATTCTTAAAAAAGTATATAATCATAAAATATAAGTATCAAGTTATTTTAAAATATTAAAATCAACATTTTGTAAAAATTTTGAAGTTGACTTATGTTGGTGAATATCTCAATATGATTTCACCAACGATGATGCATTTCATTTTGTAGTGAGACCTCACATATGAAACATGCAGGGACCTGGATTGGGACATTTCTGTCTGTCAATATTTAAACCATAATTTGTTCTGAGAAATTTAGTATAAATCATGTTTTTCTATACACCAGTTTAGCCGACTGAGCTAAGCTGCTCTCTATGTTTCATAGTCTTGTTGAAATGATGAAGAAATGGATAAGCCCATAAACTGGCGGCTCTCCAACTTTTAGCAGACAACCCAAACAAACGTTCAGGCAATTTGCTGCGACACACTTTCATTGGGACATTTAAAAAAAAAACGTTACTCAATATGAATCATTAACTGGTAAACAAAAATTTAAGCTAAAAAATTTAAGAATTGCTGTTGTAAGTATTATATAAATTCCCATAATTTTTACCAATAACAAAATCACATAGACTTCCATTACAGTGAGACAGTAACTAATCGGCGCTAAATTATATTAGGCATATATTGTTAGATGTGCTGTATAGTACAATACATATTCTTTTATATAAAGTATATAAATTATTCTATTAAGAAACAGACTGCTTATAAAAGTCATTGAAATAACCCATTAATTAAATTGCTGCTGAAATATTTGTTTTTGAATAATTACTATAAATTGAGGTTATTATGTTAATGTTAGAAGCCTGTTTTATAGGCCAATGTAAATATGCTTTACTGCAGACCATATTAATATCACTATTTTTTTTTTTCAGATAGCTTAGATAGAATTTGAGGATTGCCATCTCACAACCAGAGTACTGTCACCAAGTGTTAAAACAGTAATTAGTAAAAGAATGTGGCATTATTGTAAACTTTAGTGCAAGTACAGAAAAGCTGTAATACTTTTTCTTGGCAATAGTAAATTAATTCAAATGACCCATCATTTAAAAGTGCATGTCACTGGTGCTGGCTTTGCCATAGCAAGCCCAATTTAATTAGTTCACAGTAATGTATGTTATCCACGGCATTGTGGTTGGCTGATTGTGCTACATCAAAATTTTTCAATAAAATTCTTTTTTTTTTTTTTCCAATAAAACGGTCATTGTCTTCCATTTTAAAAGCACTATAATTAATTGTTACACTTGTTACATACATATTTTTTATAACAGTACATAATACATATTAATATTAATGATTGTATGTAATTTCAACACACAACAAAATTTAATTAAATTAATATTTTAAGTTTAAAAATTAAGGGTTTTCGTTTTAATATGTAAAGGTATTTAGGTTCAAGAATGAGTTGTATCATTTGGTGAGACTGTAATTTCCAATTTCTTGATTGTTATTTTAAGATTGTATATTAAATTTTTGTTTGCAGTTTCCTGCTCATTTAATGTAATCATTAGTTCCTTATATTTCTTGGACAGCTAACACTAACACACTTTATTATTGACTATATTTCTATTGTCCTGAACTGAATGAGTTGTATCATTTGGTTGATACCGTAATTTCCAATTTCTTGATTGTTATTTTAAGATTGTATATTAAATTTTTGTTTGCAGTTTCTTGCTCATTTAATGTAATCATTATTTCCTTATATTTCTCGGACAGCTAACAATAACACACTTTATTATTGACTATCTTTCTATTGTCCTGAACTGAATAAGGTTTGTTCTATCTGTACTTGGCGATATAAATTTATAGTTATAACCGTACAGTATTATATTGATATAGACCAAATCATTTGCTGAATTGTGGCAGTCAGGAAATTATGAGTATAATTTGACAGAAAGAGAATGTTTTCCTTCATTTTGTTTTCATTAAAAAGTTTCTATTATAGAATTACAAGCGATACATTTTTTTTTTATAAAATTGAGTACCCAAGCATCTTGTAAATGGAAGTCCTTATTCAGACACAATTCAGATTAGTCTGCAGCCATAATGCAGTACTTTATCTGCTCTTTTCAAAAAGATTTCCAAGTTCTTGTGTGCATGTGCTGTAAGGGGTGGCACTAGTGGGGAGGAAAAAAAAATGTATGTATTTTCTGCATAATGGTAGATCCAAAATTGTAAATAAGCCTTTAAAACCCCTAAATTGTCTTTTTTAAGATTTTTTCGTCGGGGGAACTTGGACCCCCTGTCAGGCAAATCCTGGCGCAACCACTATGTGCTGTTATGCACGAAGAACCAATGGCGTAACAACCAACCTGTAGAAGAAACTTATGGCCTTCACAGTATGTCAATCAAAACAGGACCAGGAATATGCACGCCCTACAAACACCTTGGCAACAAGGTCCATTAATACCAAAGTGTCTTACCATAGGATAAGGAATATGCACGCCCAAAAACACACCTTAGCAACAATATCCAAGAGGCAGCTAGGGTTTAACAGAAAGGGTCTTACTCAAGGATACAAGATGTCACTGGTAGGTCTCAATCGGTCTCACAAAAAATACGTCTTACTGCTGTGATAGCTCTCACTCTGAAGCCGGGTACTGATTGGGGGGGGGGTGCGAAGGTGAAGTGAGGGGCCTCTAACTCGCAAAATAAGGTGATTTTTAAGTACTTGACCATGATTTTTTTGGGGGCGCGAGTAATTTTTGAAGGGTTGTGTACCCCCTAGATACGCCACTGCTGAAGCCTAAAGTATTGGTTCATGAGCATTCATATTTCTATCAGTTTTTTTTTTTTGCTTCATCGAAATCAGTAGTTTGAATTGTTTACTGTACTAATTTTTGCAAAGCAAAAAAAAATCAGGTCGGGAAGCGAACCAACGCTTTCAATTTGCGCAAATAAATCACCCTAGGGTAAAATCGGCTTAGGATGCGAGTTGATGGGCCAAGTCCAGCCAAAAAACTTGCAAGCGATTTATAGACTTATTACTACAAAAATATAACATTTGATTTTGGCAACGTATACAGTACTGTACCTTTATGAAATTATTTGACCTGGTTCTACGATTTGTGTGATAGTGAAAATGTGCATGCACTGCGTTCTACGACTATCACTTCCATTTCTGTAAACGCTTAAGGACAAGACGGGGTGTGATGTCTGCAGGGGTCCCAAGTTTCGAAGAAGTCATTTCCAGATCCACAGTGGCTGATCGGGGGGAGACGGACGGACTTTCTCGGATGTAGGATAGGCCTTCCACCTCAGCCTCACCATGGTAGGGGCTGAGTTAAGAACATTTAATATTATGACACTTCTCGATGGAGCGAAACGACGCTCTCAGACTTGAATTTTAGAATATAATTTTCTTTCCCGCCATTTTTTTTTAATAATGTGAAAAAATTTAGGGGCCTGATCCACCTGCCAATGGCCATCAGCAAAGTGTAAGGTCAGCTTTTTGTTTTAACTACAAGCAAAGATCATGCTACAATTTTGATTAACAAATTTAATTCAACATGCTTTAAAGTTTTAAATCATCAGTAACAAAACGTCTAATTTAATTTTAAAGTGCAATAACAATAGTAGGTTTTAATCCCTTTGAACACTAATGGTATTTACCTACACAAATATTTCAATATAAAATAAAATTGATATATGAAGATTACAATCCATGCAATTTGCTAACAAAAACTAGAAACACTGAAAACTAATAATCAAAATTAACAGAAATTTTTTACTTTGTAAAAAAAAATAAATAAATAATAAATAATGTTTGTCTTAGCATTTATAGTACATGTATTATACACTTTCTTAGGCATACAGATTGCAGACTCAACAATGTTTGAACAGATTTTTCTTTGGTGAATATTATCAGACTTTAAACAGACATAGAACTATATGATTTGTTTCATGTCTGAAATAAGCATACATTACTATAGTATAGAACATCTGATCAAACACTGAATGTTGGATCTGATAGGTATAAACCTGTATGCCAGGATGTTTATTTTATTTTAATTGCAAATTTCTAAATATTACAGATACACCAGCATGGATACTGGTACTTTGTTGACTGTGTTAAGTTACCTTTTACAGACTTTTCACGTGATTGCCTCACCCACAGTGGTCACATGACCATGCAACAATAAGTTCGCTAATAAAACTGTCGTGCAGACATAGTTGTGCAGACAGTGAATGCTATGACAAGCAAATAACATGATCTTTGAAAGGCAACTTTTATTTTAATATAGAAATATATTATACATAAGCAATATCATATTAAGTGGACGAAGTTAATATACTTGTTCACATTTCCTTTACTTTCTCCCTAACTCTGCCATTAATAACTATTATAACACACCTTAATAGATCCTTGTCATTTGATTGAGGGATTTCATAACATGTGATGTTTATATACACCATGTCATCACGCTTCATGGAAATTTAGTTCCACCATGCATTTTTACTTCCATCTGCATTATCGTTCCATCCATTTCGCTTCATTGCATGGTGCCTATAATACGATGATTTCAACCTTGTACAATCTTTTCATTGGTTAAAAAGATGCAGGAATTTTCCATTCGGAAAAAAAGGAAGATTTTTTTTTCATAAAATATCAAATGACAAGAATCTATTTTAGGTGTGTTATAAAACAATTAATGTTTTTTAGGAACGCAATGGAAAGAATGTCTTTACTCATCGAAAGATGAACAATCAACTCAGTCAATCAATCGTTCAACTCATGAAAATATTCTTCCCATTGCCTCATAAACATTCATTATTTGTACACCAACAACTTTTTTTAATGCTGACAATCCAGATCAACGTATGTGCAGAACTAGTGTTGAACTTGATTACACACCTCATCCCTTCTCTCCACTCGATTATATCATGTAGTATATAGCAATATACAGAATTTAAAGCAACAACAACTATAAACTAAATCGTACTGCCATTTTTTCTTCATAATGGCAATTGTTTGTTATTTATTATTCTTTTCCGACTAAAGAATGGCTCTGAAATGCTGAAAAAATAAGTTTCATCGGTCAAAGTTTCATCAGTCCCAACTTTCATCATCATCTGCTTGTGTACATGTAACTCCACCTGCATCCTCAGAATTCCAGTTACCACCATCTCCGCCACCACCACTGAAGTTGTTTCTCTGTAAAAGGAGGCAAAGAATTCACAGATAAAATTCTTGTAGGCAATGTTGAATAAGCTGGCAACTCAATCACTCCAGCTCAGGGAAAAAAACACATTACTGTAAAATGATTTCTAATATACGTTCTATTCTATTTAACAAGTAATTTTAATTTACAAAAACATTTTGGTACTGAAGTACGTAAAATAGACATTTCGTCATATTTCCTTAAACCTTTCCCTTGGCATTTGATGGGTCAAAACAGGCAAATCAACAGGCTCATTTCAGTACCGAATTTTATTTTTACTGTTAAGCGCATTGAGGCTTTAGCATAATGCGCTATATAAGCCAAAATTATTATTATTATTATTATTCAGGAATTTAAAATAGAGGGGGCCCAGGGAAGGATATTCACAGGTCAAATACCACATCAGCCCCACCATGGGTGGATCTTAGATAAGAAAATTTATGATTATGGCACCTCTAGATGGCCGGAAATGGCACTCTCAGATTGGCTGGGCCCCATTGAATCTAGCAATGCATTTTTTTAGTAATGACAACAAAGTAGGATACATTTAATGGAAGTCAACACAAATGACTGGGGGTTCAAAATTGCCTAATGATTATTATTCTCACAGGAGGTAAATTATATTTTAATTTTCAACTGTTTAACATATAAATTGCATAGATTTGATGACCCCTTGACCCTACCTTCCTCGTGTCTCTGCCACCAAAGGTTCCACCTGAACTACCATGGTATGTGCCGACAGCGGAATCTGCAACTCCTTCCAAGAAATCTGGCACTTCTTGCTGAGCCTGCAAAAATAATAAAACCACATACAAGTCAGTGATCCGAGTTCTACTTGCCAAAAGCACAAATGCTTGCATGTATTATTCAACAATTGGTGTTGTGTGCTCATTATTGTAGTAGGGGCGTTCTTGCACAATATTTTCATAACTTATCAATTAAATTTCAAAACCCATCAATTTGAATTTTCAAAAAAATCTTTTATCACAAAAAAATAAAAATGTAATAATACACAAAACAATAAAACAGAATTGTAAGTAATTTATCCTATTTTTGCACAACATTTTCATAATTTTTCCATAGCCAATTTTCCATGACTTTCAAGTCTTCAAAAACACTAAAATGAATATCCACAACATTACAAAATGGATATTAACTCTATATAATCAACTGTATGGTTCAAGCTCTTATATTGTGATCTGAAATTGAATTGATTTCAATTTGTTCCACATGAAACAAAAGTGAAAACAGGAAATGAAACTTACATCAGCCAATGTCTTTATAAGCGCTCTTGCAACATTTCCGTTCTTTGAGGAATCAAAAAAGCTAGTCGCCTTTCCTAGGTTTCCAACTCGGCCAGTTCGACCGATCCTGTGCACGTATTCGGAAATATCTTCAGGGAGGTCATAGTTAATAACATGCTTGACTTTCGGTATATCAAGACCACGTGCTGCGACGGACGTTGCAACCATTACTGGAGCTCTGCCCGTCTTGAAGTCCCTCAGTGCTTCCTCTCTTTCTTTTTGCATGCGATCACTGGTAAAATATTAGAATACAACATTCATTATAATATGACCTTGGGCGCTGAATCAAATTGAATTAGGAAATATTGACATTTTAAAAGTAGGTCATTAAAAGTAATGTGAAGATAGAAAGATTAACAAACACAAATAGAAATTTGATTATCAAAAACAATAGAGTATAAGCAATGACAACTTTAATTCCATTAGCTTTTGTGCTAATTTTAAGCGAAAATATTTACCAAAATTAAAGTTTATTAGGATATGGCTATTTGGCTAATGACAGTACTGAGGGGTAGGGAGAATGTATCACGCATGAATTTTCCAAATACAGCTTCAGTATTATTTTTCAACCATGTTCTTACCCATGAATGCTTGTAGTTGGAAAGCCACTCTGGCTCAGTAGAGAAGCCAGAAAATCTGCAGAGCGTTTTGTTTCTACAAAAACCAGTGTCCTGTCGTCCTCTGAAAATTAAACATGATTTTAGAGGTTACGCACATGACCATTATCTCCATATTAAATTCAGCCCTACAAACATTACTACAAGCATTTTTAATTAACTGGGGATATTTATGTATACTCCTTTAGTAGTTCAAATAACTCTATTCTACTTGATGACTGTCATCCTCATAAAAAATTCAACATTATATTTAGTCGTTAATTAACTCATTAAGTTTAAAAGCTCACAATTGAAGGTCAGGCAGTGTTAAATAGCTTGGTAGTTAAGACACTTGACCTTCGAATCCCAGGGTCATGGGTTTAATTCCTGTCATGGAAACAGGATTTTTTTTTCTCACAGCCAATAGCAATTCTACTCCCAAAGAATCGAAATGAACATGGCTTATGTAGAGCAGGGGTGGGCATAAAATTGAGTGGGAGGAGTAAATTCTAGATTTTAAACTGAGGACTGCACCCAAACTTCGAAGGGTTTCTGCACAGTCTTAATATTATATTTTACAGATAATCGGTGTCCGGCCGTAAAAAACAAGTTTTTCTAGCCAGATGTTTGGCGGGCTGCATACATAGGGTTTTTAATTCGTTTGCGAGGGGCGCAAAAAAAAATTACTGTCAGACCGCACTTTGCCCATCTGTGATGTAGAGCATTGTATTGCTACATCATTCCTAAACTTGTCCTAATTGGATATTGTATAAATGTATTGCATAAAAACAATATCCAAATCAGAATAAGACTGGTGTAACAATAGCCTTGTGGGGGTTGCCTGCTCCTGCACTGATTACCAGCAGCATCACTTAAAGCAGGTGGACACAATGACCAGGAAAAAGAAGTGCGCTTTATAACCTAAAGGAAGAGGCGCATGATAAATGCCCATAACAGTAACAGTACCAATGCTTTGTTCAAGGACCCCAATGAACAGTAGGTTCCACCCTGATTAAAGTTTAGTTTAAAAAAACAAATGATCCTCGTCTATTTTCACATTCAAAATATAAATTGCTTTTATCTTACCCGGGGAATCATGTAGTATTTCTATGAGTTTATCTTTCTTTTGAAACTGATCAACTTCTATAACTTTCTGTTCCACGTCAGGTGTTGCGCCTCCTATACGGCCGATGGTCAGAAACAAGTAATTGTTCAGGTATTCTGACGCGCGCTTTTGAACCTCATCGGGAAACGTTGCGCTGAACATTAATGTCTGTCGATCCCCTTTCTTTGGCATATTTGGATTGTTAACTAATCGTTCCATTGCTGGTCCGAAACCCATGTCCAACATTCTGTCGGCTTCATCCAACACCAGGTAATTACACTTTTCCACACTGATCTATAAGGTACAAGATGAAAATTCAATTTAACTTCACTGGCAAAATGGCAGAAGAGTTTATTTACATTCGACAGCATTCAAAGCTTCACCTAACATAATTACAGGGGCATAAATTGTATACAATTTATACATTACAAAATAAACAGTCCAAAAAATATCTCTTAAAATGTTTTTCTTATCATTTACAGAATATAATCCTATGCTCTAGCATTGGCTTACCACCTAATTTGACTTCAGACGCTAGTTTTTATCCTAGTATAAAGCACTGGGTATATTTACTATTTGGAAGCAGCTGGACTGTTTTTATATTTTATCATTAAATTAAATCTCCCTCCAAGTCTGTAGTGCTTAGTAGTGCTCTTAAGCTCATTTTTAAGAATATGGCTTCAGTGGGACATCAAATGGCACCATTTTATGGAAATACTTTGTAAATATTTTTACGATGCCATTATTAATTTGCCTATGCATTTTTTTTTTTTTTTTTTGGTAAATAGTCGGGTGTATGTTGGTACAGAGCTACCAACATTTGTAATTATTCATATTGTAAAACAATTTTAAAAATAATTTTTTGGGGTATTTGAAGAATTTTGTTTACCTTCTGCCTGTCAATAAAATCCTGAAGACGGCCGGGTGTACCAACCAATATGTGACATCCTTTCCCTACGTCGTTAGTTTGATATTGCACACTGGTGCCTCCGTAAATCACCACCGGTCGTAATATAGTATTGTGCGAAAATTTTCTTGCTTCGTTGAATATTTGGATTGCAAGTTCACGAGTTGGCGATACAATTATGCATTGTGGTGTCTGTACAAAGCTCAAGGAACCGGATTGTACGCCATCCCGTAATATTCCTGAAATGATAGGCAGCAAAAACGCTGCCTATATTTTTTAAAGCAAAAGTGTTATCAATATATTTAACAATTCAGTAAATGTGTAGCAATTCTTAGTCCTCTTCGTCCCACCTGAAACATAAGGCTGCTGGGACAAATAGCTGAAAATTCTTAACTAAACAATAAATGAATACAGCAACTGAACCAACAAACTGAACACAATACAATACACAGAAGTTCAACTCTTTACTACCAACAACATACAGTGTGCAAACAACATACAACGTACCGAGACCCTTATAATTCGACTTTTCGTCTTTTTTTTTTTTAAACGATGGTTAATCTTTTGACATAAAGCCAAAACCTCTAAATAGAGACCCAACCACAAATTTTCAGGTCCCAAATTGGAGGGTGAACTGCAGGCCAAATAAAGACAAATAAATAAAAGAAATTTGAAATAACTAACCGTTTTGCCTGATCCTGTTTGAGCACACGCCATTAAATCACGCCCTGCCGCGATGATTGGTATACCATGCTTTTGTACTGGTGTAGGTTTCTCGTATTTTGCTTTCATTACATTATTCCTTACAGTTTCATTCAGATTACATTCATCAAACGAGTCACAATGTCGAATCTTGTCATTACCTGTTGTAAGAAATATTCCTGGTGAGTCTGACACAAAAATATGGTGGGAACAGATTGTGCAACATCCTCCTTGGTCAAATTACCAACCAAAGTTGTTAAAACCGGGCGCTCACTGGTCGCGATTCTAGGGAGAACGCAACGCCACAACACGCGTGTAACGGATAGTTTTTTTACGACGATACATTGTGACTGCCACTAACAATCAGCAGGCGATGTCATGTCGTTGAGCACCCACAGTAAGCGGGGTTGGAATCGTCGGCTGATAGTCGTACGATGCAGTAAGTGCCTGGCTTAACCAACCAAGTGTAACATAATATTGTCTACGAAGAATGGCCAGGAGCAGGGTGCAAAAATAACACTCGCCCGCTGGCCAATGCGAGTAAAATTAAGAATTGGCGAGCGACATTCCATCCTTACTCGTCCTAATGTCGAGTGAAAAATCCTACAAATAAATTTTAAAAGTCCTGCTCGAATTGAAGCTGTCATTTGCATACAACACACCATACTCTATTATGTAAACCTCAAGAGTGAAGTGTGCCCTGCCAACAGGCCTCTTAAAATCTAGTGTTTATATCAAGCCTCACACATGTCCACGACAAATTCTGCTTCTCTTTTAATCATTGTTTTTTAGCTTTAGAAGTCATGATTTATTGTTTAACTGAATGATCAATATACATATTAAATAAGTATTCATGAGAGTTTTGTTTAAGTAAAATCCTCAAGCTAAAATCCGAAAGGTCCACTGATTAATCTCAGATAAGATATTATAATACATACTCCAAGTATCGAAATGCACGCCATCGTGTTGGGATTCAATATTTCGACATTAAAACATCGGATTAAATACAAATTTGTTTAGGGAGCCTACAGTGGGATGACAAACGCAGGCCTGTCTATGGGGTGGTAGGGAGGGTAGGAAATGCCCTCCTTGCAGTACCTACATACTTCCTTATTTGTAGCATTGAATGACACCATTCTATTTTTTGTTCACACTGTGAAACATTTATTGTCTTTCTACTTGCCCTAATATGTTGCTTTTTTTTTTTTGCCAAAAAATTTAATGACCCCTGAGATAGCCCAAGAAAATGATACAAGTAACATTACAGCTAGAAATTTCAACAGGTATGTCATCATACTTGTTAAAATTGATGCCTTTCTTTTCTTTTTTTTTTGCCAAAAAATCTGATGACCCCTGAGATAGCCCAAGAAAATGATACAAGTGACATTACATACCAGAAATTTCAACAGGTATGTCATCATACTTGTTAAAATTTATGCCTTTCTGCATTGTCTCAAAAATCTCTTGCTCTCCCTCTGGTGGTGGTGGGGGCACATATGTTGAAGCTGCTGGTCGATCTAAAAAAAAAAAAAAAAAACATTGTTGATAAATTTGTTAATATATCAATTTTCAAAACTTATGTACCGATCAAGATGTAGCTCCTCTCAATAAGAATACATATATAATGCACCTTGTGTTCATGTAGAACACACAATCCGCATTAAATGTCTTAAGCTGGGCACACACTGTGTTGTACAGCTCACAAACCCCTCTTCGCTCTCTGCAAATTCTCTCTGTTAAATCAAGGTCGTCCGCTGACGAATCACGTCGACAGAGGAGAGTCTAAACGGTTCATGTCTGGCTTTAACAACAGCATCTACAATTCCACTGCTTTATGATTACATAAAGTTGTAGTACATACCTTCACCCCCTGCAGATTGATTGGGGCACTCTCTTGCAAAATGTCCTTCTTCCCCACACTTTCTGCAGGCAGTATCACCTGTAAGGTTGCAGTACAAAAAAGGGTTATACACTTGACTTCAATGTGTCCACATTTGTTTGTTGACCAAAAAGGTTTAGAATTCATCAACATCTTTAGATATATTTAAATGGTTCCATCTGGTTTCTTTAATGTGGTTTGTACTATCTTTAGATATACTCACTCTTTCCGTCACCACCAGAAGAATTACCAAAGCCACCTCGAAATCCACCTGCAATAAACATTAAAAAGTTTAGATTAGAGGAATAAATGATTGTTTAAAATAGACGTACATTCACTACAAAATAAGTCAACTAAATATGTACCTGATCTCCCACCACTAGAACCTTCTTCAGTGCAGTCTCTAGCTTGGTGTCCATCTTTACCACATTTAAAACAGCCACGACCACCACCACCTCCTCCACCACTGGGGCACTCTCGGGCAAAATGCCCTTCTTCCCCACATTTGTGGCAGGCTCTACCGCCACCTCCACCCCCTCCTCCTCCACTGGGGCACTCTCGGGCAAAATGTCCCTCTTCCCCACATTTGTGGCAAGCTCTGCCACCACCTCCGCCGCCTCCACTGGGACACTCTCGAGCAAAATGCCCTTCTTCACCACATTTATGGCAGCCTCTGCCACCGCCCCCACCACCTCCTCCGGCACTGGGGCAATCTCTTGATATGTGGCCGTCCTCTCCACACTTGTAACAAGATCTACCTCCAACACGACTTCCTGAAAATAAAATCATTAACAGTAATAACAATATAGGGATTTGTTGTCATTACTACCCCTAGTCATTGAATCCATAATCATCCCACCTTTTCCACTCCCTGTGGACTATTCCTAGTCATACTTGCAATTTAATGCTGTCACAGACGATTCAATGCCACATTATCATGGGTGGAGCATAAATTGCCTTGCATAAGGACACAAAACAAAATTCACTGCAAAGGCAGTTTGGCTCAGTGGTCTGGAGTTCAAACCACACACTGAACAATCTCGGCCGGCCATGCTTACTGGGCCCACGCTAACCAATCGCCATGTCGCCATGGGCAAAAACTATTCTTCTAAATCATCAGCAACGTTTAGTACTTTACTCAAATTAGTATAATACCGTACATCTGATTATGTACAGAATTACCAAAACTTAGAACTATTTACCTTTATTTGAGCCAAAACCACCACTACCAAAGCCTCCATCATTGCTTGAACCAAATCCACCTCCGCCACTTTTTGAGCCAAATCCTCCGCCACCATTGCTTGAACCAAACCCTCCTCCACTGCTAGATCCGAATCCTCCACCACTTGATCCGAATCCTCGACCACTTGATCCAAATCCCCCACCACTTGTATCATCTTCATTCCAGCCACTGTCGTCAAATCCACCCCCACGACCTTTAGCCTTGTTTCCAAACCCGTTTCTCGGTGGTGAATCAAAGCCATTCTGGATTTGAAAAGAAAAATACGATTTCAAACAAATAGTAACACTTGTCTAAAGATTGTCTTTTCTGTCTGAAAATATATGTTATATATTAGAATCAAACAGACCTATAATTATGTTTGTTTATGGATCAAAATCTTGGTTTGTAATGAATATGAAATCACTATTTCAAATTTAAAAAGAATACAGTAAAACTCTCCTAAGTCGACTTTGCCTAACCTGAATAATTTCTAAGTCGATCTTATTTTACAAGGCAAATTGTTGTGTTTTCCATTAATTGATGATCTGTAAGTCAAATTTTATATAATTTTCAATGCCATTTTGGATTTGACTTAGGCAAGTTCAACTGTACATTTTAAGTTTGTCAATACAATCCACAACAACATATCATAATGAAACCTATGTCTAATAAAATGTAAAATCAAGGTTAGAATTAATAAGACACTAGTAAAAATAATCAATAATCCTAATATATATTTTTCTTATATCCATACTGCACTTATTATCATTAGTACAGTACGAATATAAGTACTGTACTTATTATCATTAGGGAGTTTCAAATATGCATGTCGACTATGTGGACTGCGACGATACGTCGCCATTTTGGATCTTTGCACATGCGTCACATATTCTCGATCATTCACTGCCTGAATCGAGAACGCATTTACTACTGATTTGCATTCTCTCTAGAACGTGAACCTTGTCTCAGTTGAGAAGTCATACAAACTTTTCTGCCCAACAGAAAACCATGATCACAAGGATCACCAGTTATCCAACTGGCAAATATTTAAGTTTTTTTTTAGTTTTATTTAAAAAATCATGATCGCAAGGAATGCCAATTGGCCAATATTTTAGTTTTTTTAGTTTTATTCTAATTTCTTTTAGTATTCACAATTTAGTGTAAATTAAAATGTCAGATATATCAATTCATATTTTCAGTTTATAGTGCATCATATGAATTTGGGATAGTGTAATGTAGTAGGGAATTGGTTTTGTGGAGTGACAAGACCTTGTCCAATATTTTATAGATTCATGTTAGTGTACTGTAAATATTATTTTGTATATTTCAATAGACATAAATAGGAACTAAAAAATGCTAATAATGGTAAAACACCATAAAAGAATGGCGCTACAACATATTTCTTCTAAATCATCAGCAACGTTTAGTCTTTACTCAAATTAGGATAATACCGTACATCTGATTAGGTACAGAATTACCAAAACTTAGTGTAATGTAGTAGGGAATTGGCTAGGCCAGGCCTAGGCTACCTCTGAGTACCACTGTATGTAGTAGGCATGCCAGGTGTAATACGATGTCCACATTCACTCAAATCTGAAACTCCCTACTAATGAAAGCTAGTCAATTGTCAAACTAGAGCCTCCTCCATTTTTTTATTTTGCTTAGTATATAGCTTATCATTGTCATCTACAAACTGCTTAAAATGGATCACAAATCAAACTTACTGTTGCTGGTGCATTGGATGAAAAAGCCTTTACTATAGATCCACGGCCTACAATTGAAAACAAATCATTTACAATCATAAAAATAATAGTGGGCCCTAATAACGGTGTGTTTTACAGTATTATTAAACACTGTTAAACGTGGAAACAGAGGATGGGCCTATATAACAAGTGAAGCATTTCTCATTAAAATTTCTTAAAATGAGAGAAGGCTTATACCTACCAGAGTGACCTTATACAAGGAACTATGATACAGTAAGACGTCTATTTTGCGTACCAAGGGATGTTTGTAAATTGAAAAATTTGTAAAGTAGATCGGGTGTCAGTTTCCAATACCTAGGCCTAGCTATCCCTGCCACTAAGCGCCGATAGGCCGACGGCGGCCAGGCCTAGAATAAACCAACAGTGCAGCAGCGTGGTCTACCGCACTAGAGCCTAGCTGAATTTATCATATTACATTAATATTGTGATTATTACACCAGAAATAAATAAATACAACAAACTTGATTTTATTAAGAAAAATATACATTATCACTTTGTAAAACGTGTCTAATCTGACTTTTTTTACGGTAATAATCGATCAATGATGAGGTCATCAGTGAAAAAGACCATTCGTAAAATCGCTATTCATAAAATCGCCTATTCGTAAAATCGATGTTCATAAAATGAACGTTTTTAATTCTGAATTTATAAATAACTTGTTCTAACAATGAACTAAACCACACAAGTTGATAACCTTCTTGGGATTTAGTAACAGAAGAAACTGTCTAAAGGTCAATAAACTGTTGTCTATTTATCATTGTTATCAAGAAGATCAAACAATTTCTGTGCAACAGGAATCGGTTTCTATCCTTTACCATAATTTCTAAGCTATAACAAACAATACAGTACATTAACATGCGCTTTCAATACCAAAACTGGTTTAAATACAAATTGTCTTAATTAGACTTTAGTATAGGTAGTTAATTAAATGTACAAAGGGGGAAAACTGAATATAAACTTGGGAAATCAAAGTTTATTTTGTAACTGACCTCTTCCTCTTCCAAATGACACTGGGCCTCCATTCATTGAGCTTGAAGGCTATACAGGTCAATTATGAAAAAAAAAATGCTTAGAAAACAATTGGTAGCGAACACATCAACAACTCAAATTACCTACAATTATTTTCTTATAGTTTGTTAGACAGGATTTAATAGCAAAATGCAAAATTTGATAAACAATCTATTCATCAACAATTAATTAGCATCAACAGAAAATCAACTGTTTCAAACTTATTTCCCAAACACATTTACCACAGATAAGGCCTCTGTTGTATAGCACCTGAATTACAAAACAGGAATTTAGTTAAAACAGAGTAGCCAATCCCTATCCTGATGGGTTAAACAACTGGGATATCAGGTCATCAAGTGAAGTTTTATTCTATAGGCTTATATTCAAACTTACTCTGTCCCAGTCATCAGCCATTTTGATGTGTATTTTGTATTGATACTTTATTATTGATAATTGTTTGTATTGTCCAGTCCTGTACCTGTCCACTGTAATGTCTGGATACCCCTTGCTGTGAAAACAATAGAAACACCACTTTGTTAATGGACATGTGCAAAGGAATACAAACTCAATTTTATTGTTGTTCCAAATAGACTGGAAAGACTGGAAAGACTTAAAAGAAGCAGAGTAAACAACATTAAACTCAACCTTCATTTCACTCAAACATGTTGCTGTTACATAATATGGAGTGGTAAAACCAAAAGAAGCCTATGCTTGATACAAGGGAGACCCACAAATAACTAAAAGTATAGTCGATGGCCCCTATTGATCAGCTCACTGGCTTTTGTTATGAGCTGGGTCAACGTCATTAGACAAGACTAAAATAAAGATATGTTTGTAGTCAATAGATAAGACTGAAATAAGGATATGTTTGTAAATTTGGTGACAGTACACCTTTGTATCAGTGGCACTCAGTCAGTGGTGCAGTCTTACATACAAGTGGCGGTTCCTCGATGATCGGTTGAGGGATGCTAATTTGAAAAATAAGGTATTTACGCTCACGGCGTACGTAATTAAGAATGCTGATTGGTCATTTTTTTACCGGAAGTCAATGCAAGACCCCCCGCAGCGATTAAAGCCCGGCTTACAAAAGTTAAACACGGTGGCATGCCAGGCCTAGTTACTATATGAACACAGCCCAGCTTGAAATAAGCCACCTAGTTCAGACTGGCACGTGGATAAACCCGGTGAGTTGAGCCGGGTTTATCCACCTAGTCTGAACTAGGCCATTATTAACCCTCTAGATACCGTCTTCGACTATAGTCGAAATTGACCTCAAACCGAGAATTCCCATTTTCGACTGCAATCGAAATTTAGTGACTAAAAAATAGGTGGTTTTCAAATCGCTCTTCTGTTTTTATTTTAGCTCTAATACGTCAGAAATTTTGAACACGCATGCGTGAAGCTTTCTTCTTTCGAAATCTGTGAAGAACTCACATGC